TGACCATCCTATACTCAGTAAAACAATGACACTCTATAAGCACCTAAACCAGCTGTATAGTATTGATAAGGGTAAATCATATGAGAATTAGTATTGTATAAAATATAGTTGCTTGCAACTCTAGATCACTAGCTCGAATTCCAACCAAGTAAATAAAGATGAAAGCTGGAACCATCCAGGCTCTAAGGGCCGGTATCAAGTGAGTTTGTCAGACAGTTCCCAGATGGGCACATCAGAAGAGCTAATTGGCTCCTCTACTGGTGGTATTAGCAAAGAAGCCCAGGACTGAATAAATCCAAAGGAGGATTTTGTTTCTAAATATAATCCCTTTAGCTCAGGAGTGAAAATAGATTGGAGAGCCAAACACAGCGGCTGCAACTGCTTTGACTGTTTCACGGGTAAGATTAAATCAACATTGTTCTATAGGCTGCCAGGTTAGTTCTGAACCACCATCGTGTGTAAACCCCCCCCCTCCACACACACACACACACACACACTCTCTACTTCAGCCCTATGGTGGGTTTTGCTAGCACTAGTTCAGTGGCAGACAGCAGGAAGTAATGGAAAGATCCTGTAACACAGGAGAGTCGCATGTGATCTTCTCAACTTGTCACTGCATCTGACAAATTTGTCAGCCTCTGGACAGCCAAACATTTCAAGAAGTTCTTATATCTCTTCACAGTGTTGGCAGAGAACGTTTACACTTATTGTAAGATCTCAGTCATTAGCCAAATCAATCAACAACCTGGCATGAAAGAAATTCCTTTTTTTGCTTCTCGTTCTTGAAGTGGTATTTCCCATCTTCCATACTTACAGTGTGAATGAATCAACATAACTTTAACCAGCTCGGGTCAGGATCAGCAGCAAGGTCTCCCAGAGCTTTAACATCCCTCTCTCTCAGAGAAGGGAGGGGGCTGGGAAGTCCTCAGGTTGTTGAGATTAAGTTTTTCTTTGAAAAATGTCCTACCTTAAAACACAGTATCCCAGTAGTTTCTACCTCTCCACACAAAGCATCCTGCTGATGTTATTGTGTAGCTGTTTATTTAACAGATACTTCAAAGAGGAGGACTCCAAACAGGCCAGCTTGATGCCACCCAAAGCAAGACAAGAGCTATTAATCAAGTCACATTGATGAAGCAAGTAAAATGCTGGCCTCTGAACCCGTGTCTCATCTTCGCAGGACACTCAGACAAGATGAAAATTCTGTTTCTACTCTCAAAACCTTGTGCCCATCACAAAGCCAACCAGAAAAGCAGAATACTTAACCTCACGTTCTGGAGCCCAGGCTGCTTTATTCCAGCTCCATCAGGATTTCTACTGAGAAAAGCTAAATATTTTGCAAGCCAGAAATGTTAATCAGTGCCTCCTGTGTCCTTTCTTAGCTCCCCTGTCTGTACAAATACAAATCTAATCCCATCCACTCTTCTTCATATGTGCCTTAGCATACAGAGTATTTGGAAATAGTTTCTTGTTTGATGGGAAAATAAAAACTAATGTAAAAAGTGGCAGATACAGCAGAGTACACCCAGTACCACAGTAGTAAGAACGATGGGGAAGTACAAAGAGCATAACTAATACCCACTTTGCTGGCATGCAGAAATGCACACTTGAGCAAATGAGAGTGTAGTTTGCCATGAGTGATTTGGCCTAATGTAAATTCTGCTCTCATTTCATTTGGGGCCTAATTTTTTCCTTCTTTTTTTGAGTGATAAAACCTCCAAAACAGAACTTTCCTCAGAGAAACAAATACATCTAGCAAGAGTATGAAGTTCCAGGAGGACCATGGGACTTGACGCACTTCATTCCACCCTATAATTGCTGGTGAGGAAAAGGTGGAGGGAGCGAAGCAACAGCCGTCTCGGTTCTGCACTCCGGAAGACAAGGCAGGGAAAGGGTGCGCGTACAGGCTCTATGGACACTACTAATTACAAAAGATTCCAAAAATGCATAGCAAAAAAAGCAGATTGTTTGTTTCTACCAAAATCCTGAACCTTTTAATCATCTGAGAAACTAACCCTCATCAGGGGACTTCTGGGGAAATTGAAAATATTTTAGCTTGGCTAAGATAAGGGCAAAGCTGTTTATTTCACACATCTCTACAGTGGTAGAGAGCCAGGAAATACTTTTCAGTTATTTTCAACAAAACATGACAAATGTACCAAACTGGCAAGAAAGTGACATTTTTCTGAAGAATTCTTTAATGTCCAAAC